CTTATACACATCTAGATGTGTATAAGAGACAGCTCATGTCCTCTCCCTCCACCTTCTCCTCCCCCTCCACTTGGTCCTTCCCCTCTCTCTATTTTCGGAATGATTTTCCCTATTTAATACTATTTAATAGGTGTTTATATGAATTTGATGTAGGCTATATAATTAATATTTATTTTTTTATTTTTTTTTAAATCTGAATTCAGCTGAGTTTGCTTTTTTTTTTCCCGGGAAATCTCAGAATGTATTGAGCAGCCTTCAGCTTGAAGGTTCACCCCCATTTCTTCAGAGTTCCACCAATCCTCGTTTTTCATTTTTTTTAATATTCTCTTGTTGTTTTCCTCCAATCACCACGTCGCTCCCTCTCGTATTATTAGTAATTTATTACAGTATTAATAAATCCATTTTAACATTTTCTTGTTATTTTTTTCCAATCGCTCCCTCTCTTATTATTACAGTATTAATAAAATCCATTCAGATATCGATTACGTATTCATTCATTCATGTAGTTTAATTTATCTTCTTTTTTTTTTTTTTTTTTTTTTTTGTCCTTCGGGAATTGCTTTAAAATTGAAATGATGCAGAGAAGATTAGCATGGCCCCTGCGCAAGGATGAGACGCATAAATCGAGTAAAAAAGGAGGGAAAAAAATGTTTTTTCAGTTTTTTCACTTGTCCATTCTTCCATTTCCTCTGCACGAGTCTTATTTGTTTAGGATCTTAGGCAGCTCTCTCTCTCTCTCTCTCTCTCTCTCTCTCTCTCTCTCTCTCTCTCTCTCTCTCTCTCTCTCTCTTTCTCTCTTTCTCTCTTTCTGTCTCCCCGTTAAGAGCATCTCTTTCTCTTCCTCTCTTTTTTGTCTCTTTTTTCCACCTTTTCCTCTGTTTCTCTTTTTCTTTTTCTTTTTTCTCATTTTTCTCATTTTTTCTCTCTCTCTTTTTCTCTCTGTCTTTTTGTCTGTCTTTTTCTCTTTTTCTCTCTTTCTCTCTCTCTCTCTGTCTCTGTCTCTGTCTCTATCTGTCTGTCTCTCTGTCTCTCCGCGTGTCCGTCTCTGTCTGTCTCTGTCTCTGTCTCTGTCTGTCTCCTTGTGAGACAGCCCTATTTGCCCCTTCTCCCTTCCCCTTTCCTCCTCCTTGCGGGTCCCCCTTCAGCCTGTATCCGCCCATCTTCCATCTTTAGGAGTCTCCTGTCTCTATCTCTGTCTCCCTGTTTGTCCCTCCGCACTCAACTTTTTCTTTATTTCTTTCCCCCCCCCCGCCCCCCCCAACTTTTTTTGCAGTTTTTCGGTGTCATCTCAATCTCCCGGTATTAACTTGTGTCCAAATCTCTTTTTTTTTTTATGCACAAAAAAACAGGATCAGTTTCTTTTTTTGTTTTGTTTTTGTTTTTAAACAGGATCACTTTAATCTCTCTTCCTCCCTCCCTTGTTTGTCTCGTTTGAAAATCCGTACGTCGCTCTTTTTTTTTTTTTTTTTTTTTACCCTACATCTATATACGTCTTAATCCTGTCTACTTGTCCCCTGTTCCCTCCACCTCCCTCTAGATCTTTCTGTACCACGATGCATTTATCTCAGGCCATATTCACAATAGGACGTTTTCCACTTCTCTCTGGACGTAATCACAGTCAGGTTCATGCAGTCCAGGTCCGAAAATGGGTCGTATATTATACATCCTGGGAATCCTAGTGTGAACATGCTTTTTCCACTACTCTCTGGACGTAATTACAGTCAGTCCGGGTCGGAAAATCGGTCATATATTATACATCCTGGGAATCCTAGTGTGAACATGCTTTTTCCACTACTCTCTGGACGTAATTACAGTCAGGTTCATGCAGTCCGGGTCCGAAAATGGGTCATATATTATACATCCTGGGAATCCTAGTGTGAGCATGCCCCTCGGTTGTTTCTGTGTTCGTCCATCATCTCTATTGATTCTACAGTGTTTTAGTTATTGTCTTTTTTTAATTTTTATTTATTTATTTTCTTTATTGTTCTTGTCTATCTATCTGCGTAGCTCTTTACTTGGGTGTTTTTTATTATTATTATTATTATTATTATTATTATTGTCATTATTATTATTGTTATTATTGGTATTATTATTATTGGTATTATTATTATTGGTATTATTATTATTGTTATTATTATATTGTTATTATTATTATTGTTATTATGATTAGTTTTTGTACTCGCTGAACAGTGTTCCACGTTTCCTCCCTCCTTTCTCGTCTACATACTTCCTTTCTATTCTATGTACTAACGGTAGGTTTCCATCTTTCCTCAGAGGTCCTTTTTGTTTTTTTTTAAATCTTTCAGAAGTTTCCATATATGTGCGTTTTTGAATTTAATTTAATTTTAATATAGTAAGTCTGGCAGATTTTCCACGTGCGTTGGTTCCCATCTGCGTAGCTCTGATCTGTGGGCGGCGCCACATGGCGCACGAAATGAAAAACGAAACGAGTGCATCTTCCCACAGAAAATGGCCACGTTCATTGGTTTGCTATAAATAGTAACGAGTGTATTTTGCCACCATCCGTGGGCAGATGCACTCGTTTCGTTTTCGTTTCGTGTGCCGTGTGACGATGCCCTGTGTGTGATTGATTTTATTGAAATTTATTGAAGTTTATTGAAATTTATTGAAATTTAGTGAAATTTATTCACTGAAGACAAACTCCGAAAGAGAATGAAAGTTGTGCCTGCGGACTGATTGTGCCGTCGTTTCGTTTTTTTGGCCGTCGGACTTTCGCCCGGGTTTATCTGAAGGTTGAACCCCGCCAGCCTGCTCAGAGTGCAGTAGATTGATTGGGATGAGGACTGAATGTATCTGGACTGAATGTTGCCCCAAATGCAGTTGATTGATTGGGATGAGGACGGAATGTATCTGGACTGAATGTTGCCCAAAACACAGTAGATTGATTGGGATTAGGTGTCCCCTCATCATCCATCGCCTTGCCCAGAAGTTACCGTTGGCCCCGAAACAGAACGTATACGGTCGGGGGAAAAAAAAAAAAAAAAAAAAAAAACGTATACGGTCGTTATAGCTGTATTTGGGGCAACATTCAGTCTAGATACAGAGATAATCACCGTACGTTCTATTCGAGGGAAGACCGTAGCCATACCCGTGAGAGAGAAGAGTGGTCGACTACCCCACTCACACAAACCCTGACCTTGTCGTATCCGTCGTTGATTAGATCACGTGGATTACTTGATTTTTAATGCAATTAATCGGTAATTATGAGTTTATTACTAATTAATATATTGTAAATTTATTATATTATGGTAATGGTAACCATTCATTAAATGGACGGCGGGCGTTTTTTTTTTTTTTGTTGGGCTCTGATGAAATCGAGAAAAAAGTTTCTTTTAGAAAAAAAAAGAAGCGAAAAACAAAAATAAATAAAAATAAATAAATCTACCGTTCGATGTTTCCCGAAGAAAGTGGTGATCCAGGGGCTCGCTCCACCACTCACCACATGCAGAAAAGACAAAATTGTAGCGGTGTATCTTTCCATGTTCTAGGGGCAGGTTCATCCTTATTATTTTGCACATCCGGTCAGTTGCAGAGCCAGGCGCACAGGGCAGTGAGGAGAAAGGTGATACAGGGCTGTGTGCGGGCAGGCAGAGGAGGACTGCAGCTGTCGTATATTTGAGGACATTAAAAGGGGTCGGGAGGAAATTAAAGGGGTCGGGAGGAAATTAAAAGGGGTCGGGAGGAAATTAAAAGGGGTCGGGAGGAAATTAAAGGGGTCGGATGAAACGGAGGATAGGCTCAGTTTTTTTTTTTGGGGGGGGGGGGGGTGGTAAGATGGGCCAGGGGGATTGAATAGGAGCGGGATATTTCAGGTTTTTCGATTAAAAAAAAAAAACTGAAATAGGAGGGATATTCACCGGTATATCAGGTTTTTACTTTCGATATCAGGGTTTTCGATAAAAGAAAACGAACCCTTTTTTTTTTTTTTTTTTTTTTTTACTTTATGGGGGATTGAATAGGAATGAGATATTTTAGGTTTTTCGATTAAACAAAAACTGGAATAGGAGGGATATTCACCGGTATATCAGGTTTTTCCTTTTGATTTCAGGGTTTTCGATAAGAGAAAACGAACCCATTTTTAAAAATTTTATTTTTATTAAATTAACTTTTATACCATGACGATTTACGTACATACACGTACAGTTCTGTTTGTGACGATATATATATAAAAGAACGAATTCATTCATTCTTTTTTTTTTTTTTTTTTTTTCGCTTTTGCGCTCTCATATTCATGTGATGATATATTGTATATAAGGTGGATTATCATTTACAGTGTAATCAGTTAGGGGATTCTGCAGACTGTTTTTGAGGTTTCAGCCTCTACTGATTGAGGAGTTTGGTGAAACTCCGACGACGAAACAGTTTGTCACAGCCCGTCCCTCGTTTGTTGTCCTCTTCTCCCTCCCTCCCTCCCTCCCTCTCTGCCTAGTGCGGTTTACCGTCGGCAGCTCTGTGATGTATATCGGTTATATATATGTACGCAAGAGGTTCTGAACAGGGGCAGTTGTAAGTAAGAAGATTTCAAAAACGAATTCATTTTTTTCCTTGTTTTCTTTCTTTCTTTTCCCTTTTTCTCTCGCTTTTGCGCTCTGATATTCTTGTGACAATCTATCTATCTATCTATCTATTTATCTATCTATCTATATATGGGCCTTGTACCCAAGAGGTTCTGAACAGGGGGAGTTGTATGAAAGAAGATATAAAAACGAATTACAGTATTTTTTTTCTTGTTTTCTTCTGTTTTTTTTCCGCCTTTGCGCTCAGATATTCATGTGACGATATATATTCATGAATATGTGGGACGGTCGGGCTTTCATAGGAAACAACTTTTTACCGCGGTGAAGAATCAACTGTGGTGGAAAATAGTAATGATAATAACGGACGGCGAATGTGTGTATGTGCGCCCCTACCCCTCTTACCCCCC